ATATGGACCAATGGAACAGAATAGAGAGCCCAGAAATGAACCCACAGACTTCTGGTCAACTAATCTTCAACAAAGGAGGCAAGAATATACAATGGAATAAACACAGTCTCTTCAGCAAATGGTGTTGAGAAAACTGGACAGCAGCATGTAAAGCAATGAAGCTAGAGCACTCCCTTACACCATACACAAAAATAAACTCAAAATGGATCAAAGACTTAAACATAAGACAAGATACAATAAACCTCCTAGAAGAAAATATAGGCAAAACATTATCTGACATACATCTCAAAAATGTTCTCCTAGGGCAGTCTACCCAAGCAATAGAAATAAAAGTAAGAATAAACAAATGGGACCTAATGAAACTTACAAGCTTCTGCACAGCAAAGGAAACCATAAGTAAAATAGAAAGACAACCTACGGAATGGGAGAAAATTTTTGCAAATGAAACTGACAAAGGCTTGAACTCCAGAATAAATAAGCAGCTCATATGACTTAATAAGAAAAAACACAAACAACACAATCCAAAAATGGGCCAGAAGACCTTAACAAGCAATTCTCCAAGGAAGACATACAAATGATCGATAGGCACATGAAAAAATGCTCAATATCACTAATTATCAGAGAAATGCAAATCAAAACTACAATGAGGGATCATCTCACATCAGTCAGAATGGCCATCATTGAAAAGTTCACACATAACAAATGCTGGAGAGGCTGTGGAGAAAAGGGAACCCTCCTACACTGCTGGTGGGAATGCAGTTTGGCGCAGCCACTGTGGAAAACAGTACAGAGATTCCTCAAAAGACTAGGAATAGACTTACCATAGGACCCAGGAATCCCGCTCCTGGGCATATATCCAGAAGGAACTCTACTTCAAAATGACACCTACACCCCAATGTACATAGAAGCACTATTTACAATAGCCAAGACATGGAAACAGCCTAAATGTCCATCAACAGATGACTGGATAAAGAAGATGTGGTATATTTATACAATGGAATACTACACTGACATAAAAAGGATAAAATAATGCCATTTGCAGCAACATGGTTTGACCTAGAGATTGTTATTCTAAGTGAAGTGAGCCAGAAACAGGAAGAAAAATACCGTATGATATCACTCATATGTGCAATCTTAAAAAAAAAAACCACTAAGAACTCATCTACAAAACAGAAACATACTTGCAGACTTAGTAAACAATCTCATGGTTACCAGGGAAAGGGGGCAGGGAAGGGATAAATTTGGGAGTTTGAGATTTACAAATGCTAGCCACTATATGTAAAAATGCTTCTGTATAGCATAGAGATCTATGTTCAGTATCTGGTCATAACCTTAAAAGGAAAAGCCACTACAGCCACCAACTGACGGAAACAAGATTAGAAAGGAGAGCTGTTATCCTAGGCCAGAGCCCAGTCCTCCTAAAGTCCCTGTCTGCCGCTGACGCTGCCCCCTGACTGCACTGCGCCCTCCTCCCAGGAGCAGACTGACATGAAGACATGGGTCCTGTGAAGCAGAGGCAGAGGCTGCTCCCAGGATAGGCCTGGGGGAAGACGGGAGCAAGTCTACCTGCTCCCCCTGGGGCAGCACCCCTCCCCGCAGCCGCCCCCTGAACACACCGCGCCTGCCTCCCGGGAGCCCATTGACCTGGAAACAAGTGTCTTGTGAACCTGGGGCAGCGGCGAGAAGAGAGGAGCTGCCTCTAGTGAGCTGGTCAATTTCTCCCCTTCATTGCCACAGCAGGGCCTGGGGGTGGCCTCTGCTGCCCCAGTCACGTCCCCAGGTCAGCCTGCTCCCAGGAGGCGGGTGCCATGCAGTCGCCATAAATGGGTGCATAGCAGCATTATTTACAATAGCCAAGACATAGAAACAGCCTAAATGTCCATCAACAGATGACTGGATAAAGAAGATGTGCTATATTTATACAATGAAATACTATTCAGCCATAAAAATCGACAATATAATGCCATTTGCAGCAACATGGATGTTCCTGGAGAGTGTCATTCTAAGTGAAGAAAGCCAGAAAGAGAAAGAAAAATACCATATGAGATCGTTCTAATGTGGAATCTAAAAAAAACCCAAAAACAAAAACAACAAAAACAGAGCATAAATACAAAACAGAAATAGATTCATAGACATAGAATACAAACTTGTGGTTGCCAAGGGGGCGGAGGGTGGGAAGGGATAGACAGGATTTCAAAATTGTAGACTAGATAAACAAGATTATACTGTATAGCACAGGGTAATATACACAAGATCTTAAGGTAGCTCACAGAGAAAAAATGTCTCAATGAATATATGTAAGTTCATGCATGACTGAAAAATTGTGCTCTACACTGGAATTTGACACAACATTGTAAACTGATTATAAATCAATAAAAAAGATTATATTGCATAGCACAGGGAAACATATAACAAGATCTTGTGGTAGCTCACAGCAAAAAAAACATGTAACAATGAATATATGTATGTTCATGTACAACTGAAAAATTGTGCTCTACACTGGAATTTGACACAACATTGTAAAATGACTATAATTCAATAAAAAATGTAAAAAAATTAAAAATAAAAAACAAAAAGTAGACAGAGGAGAAAAAAACAAATAAAATGGTTTCAGAATTACTAGCTCACAACCCTGTGATTAAAAAAATTACCTACTGTACAGTATTTGTTTACAGTTCTTTCTGTTGTTAGATTTCAGTATATAATCAAAATACAGTTTTCCAAAGACACTTAGATTGCTTTCTTCTTTATCATCTCAGTGTGGTTATGTTATTCATTTGTGACACAGTTAGGTTTATTTATTACTGTTTTTATTCCATTTGGGTTTTACCCACATCCTTGTTTTATGTATTTGTTTATTTATCTTCTGAGTATGGGAAATACCAAGGTGGTTCTAAAAATCAAAATTATACAAAAAGGAGTCCTCAGGAAAATGTCATTCCCCTCCCATTTCCCCTTCTCTGACTCTTTTCACCCTTTTCCACCCATCTGTGTAGATGACCAATCGCATCTTAGTTTCTGGATTCATCCTTCCTGCATTTCTTCCTGCAGATATGAGAAGACACATGTATATTCTTATATTCTCTTCTTTTTTACATGAAAGGCAGCATGCTATAGATACCATTTTGCACTTTGCTTTGTTCACTTGACAATATATCCTGGAAATCTCTCCATGTCATTTCATGGCGATCTTCCTCATTCTTTGTGTTTGTAGCTGCATAGGATGCCACTGTGTGGATATACTGCAGTTTATTCATCAATTCCTCTCCATATGGCATTTAGGTTGCTTCTAATACTATGCAATTTCAAATGATGATGCATATATACTGTGCATATATATTTTCCTATTTTTGGAGATGTATCTTCATGGTAAATCCCTAGAAGGTAAATCCCTGATGGCTGGGACAGAAGATTAGTGCATATATAGTTCTGTGAGTTGTTGCCAAATTCCCCTCCAGGAAGGTTGTACCACTTTACATTCCCATCAGCAATATGTAAGCATACCTGTTTCCCAAGAGTCTCACCATAGACATGTGCTAAGTTTTGGTCTCCTCATGTACTGCACCTGTACAGGGGCAGAGACAGGCACAGCATCCTATCCAGAACCCATCCACTTCTCCGCAACCCCACAGGCTAATGCCCTGTGCAGGCCACTGCCACATCTTCCCTGGGCTACTGCTGTAGCCTCCTGTTGCCTCCTATGGCCTTATCTCTACGCAGCAGCCTGGGATCCTTTAGAAAGATCGCTCCCTGTTCAAAATTCTCTAGTAGCTTTCCAACTCAGAATGAAATCCAAACACCTACCTTAGCTGATAAAACCCAAAGAATCTGGCCTCTGGCTTCATCTCCTGCCACTCTGCTCCAGCCACACTAGAATCCTGCGTGCTGGTCCTCGCACATGCCAAGGATCTCTGCATTCGATGTTCCTTCTCCCTAACTCTCCAAAACACTCTCCCTCAGATACCCCAGTGGCTCACTCCCTCACATTCTTCAGGACTGCTCAAATGTCACCTCCGTGGGTGACCCCAAGGCCTTTTCCCTGAACAACCCACCTAGAACAGTATCCCTTCTCTGTTCTCCATCTCCTCACCTTGCTTTACTTGTCTTCATGACACTCACCAACGTCTGACGTGTTGTATATTAATTTGTTTATTTATCGACCAGTCAATTGACCATCTATTTATTGGTCCTTCAGTAGAATGTTGGAGAAGTTTCATGAGGAAAAGAAGGAACTTTTTCTTGGCACACAATGAGCAATCAGCATGTATAAAGACGGTCTTTGATTTATGATGGTTTCACTTACAACTTTTTGACTTTATCATGGTGCAAAAGTGATACATATTCAGCGGAAACTGTATCTGGAATTCTGATGTTTTCCTGGGCTACTGACATGCGGTACAGAGCTCTCTCGTCATGCAGGGCAGCAGTCAAGGGCCGTAGCTCCCACGTGAACATGAGGGTAAACAACTGACACACTTAACCATCATTCTGTGCCCACACAACCCTTCTGTTTTTCATTCTCAGTCCAGTACTCAATAAATTATGTGAGATATTCAACACTTTATTATCAAACTGGCTCTATGTTAGATGTTTTTGCCCAAATGTAGCCTAGTACAAGGGTTCTAAGCGTGTTGGAGGTAGGCTATGCTAAGCTGTACATATTTGTGTATAATGTTCAGTAGGTTAGGTGTATTAAATGCATTTTTGACTTAAGATATTTTCAACTTACGATGGGTTTATTGGGATATAACCCCACTAGAAGTCAAGGAAGACATGTATTTGTTGAATGAATGAATGATGGAAGGTATGGATGAAGGAACTGGAGTTTGGACTCTCCTCTCCCTATTGTTCTTTAGGCACAAATAATTCATCCTCCTCTGAACTTAGTTTGGACTTACCTTTACCAACTGCTTGACCATTAAGCATCACCATCCCATGAAATTTCTTATACTGCTATTCTGAACCATTACAGCTTATCTTTTTATTTAACTTTTACTTGCTTATTTATTTTCTCCCAACTGCATCATAAAACCAGGTAAAGACAGCAACAGCGTATTAGTCCTGTTTTGGTTTTCCTACTTGGCAATGCACGGCGCCCAGCATTGATCAGGGGCTTGACAGATATCTGTTGACCGCTCAATATACGGCTATACAATGCTGTTACTTCTAATGAATGGAGATAAGGTGAAAAAATTGTAGCTGATTAGAATGGGATAAGTCATAAGCATACTAAAATAGTGACTATTCCAAAAAAGAACCCAAGCAATGTCCCAGTTTATTGGGAGAGAAGGAGAGGAAGGGAGAGAGAATGGCTGTTTCTGAACTGAGACCAGCGATCAACTGCACACCTCCTTAGCTCCAAGAAGGTCATTCTGTCACGCTTCCTCTAACTAGATAGGACAGCATCTAAAAACAATTTCTGATGCTAGAAACCTTCATGACGCATGCTCAGATAGCTGTACTTTCTAAATATGCTTATACTTGGAAGACTGATTCTCTGGCTATTCATCTCTTTCCCGAAATTCTGTCTAATCAGCCTAGGAGCAGGTGAGGAATGGAGTTTATGAGATTCAGCCTCATCTAAACAGAAGATAAAGTAACTCAACTTAGAAGGAGCCAGTCCCCGCAGACTCTCAAATGTTGGCTACAACTTTAAGATCGGCTACTAACTGAGCTCTGGTGATGTTGTATCCAATGAGACCAAACCAGAACCCAAACTGGATATGACTAGGAGTCAATGTAACATTATAAGAGGACTTTGTTTTCAAAGCAGTCCGATGCGGAAAGCCAATGTGACATATGGTCAAGGCTGTGCAGTGGGACATACTGATACACGCAAAGATGGTGAGTAATGGCGAAACTGCTGTCACCACATTGGGCCAGCTAGACCTACTCTCATAACAGCTATAATTTAGAAGTCACTCTCAAGCTAGAAAGGGAAGTGTGGTAAGTGGCTGAGGCATTTTGGGGTCAATTTATATGCTGTCTTGTCCTCAGTGTCTAGATGTGGCCATTTTGAGGTAGCAAACGTTATGTGAACAAGTAAGATTTTATTCCTTTTCTCAGACTGTCAGGATGGGAAGCCAATCTCTATTCTTATTCAACAAAGAATTCCTGGAAGTTCCTCCCGATTCCGCACAAATATGGGCAAGGCGGGGATCCTGCTTACCGTGTCTGCTGATAAACCGGATACAGCTTTCTACCACCAGAGGAATTGCCTGGCTGGAATCCTGAAAAGCCAGAGAAACACAACATTAGAATCTTTAAACAGAGATTGCCCAGGGTCAGAGAAAATGGGCCAAACTGTGTGGAACTTGTCTCGGCCGGATCAGTGGCCAGTCCACAAAGAAGCATCCGGCCTGTCCTCCAAGCTCCAAAGCACATGCACCAGCGTCTACTTGGAATGCCACACAGAAGCCTTAAATTCAGCATGTCCCAAATGGAACTGATCATCCTTTATTCCAAACCAGTGCCCCACTCCCAGCTATCCAATCCACCATCCATACACATATATTGTGTCAAGTCTGCATCCCAAATATCTCTCAAATGCACTCATTTCTCTCCATCTCTACTGCCACCAACCCAGTCCAATCCATCAGTATCTCCATTCCCACCACCGTCGTTCCCCAAACCAGTTTTTCTTCTTTCAAATGTGGTTAGGTGATCTTTGTGCACATTTCATCATTTATTTTCTAGGCTAAACTCTTTCAGAGACTTCTCATTACTTTCTGTACCCTGCCTTGCGTGTCCAGGGTCCTGCCTTTGCCACCAGTTTTGTCTCCTTCTGCTCTTCCCCTCCATCTCTGTTTCAGCCATACTGGTCTTCTTTCTGCTCCTCAGTAAGTCCTCCCTTCCCCATGGCTTTGCAGGAACTGCTCCTGCTACTGCAATGCCCTCCTCCCTCTGGTCCCCTACCCCCAGGGTCTCAGTGTCACTTCTCAGGGATGTTTTCCAGAGTCCCCAGTTAAGATCAGGATCGCTGGCTACAGGGTCTCAGCACCTTGCACTTGGCCCTCACACCCTGACTGTGACTTAACTGTGTGGGTATGAATATCTGTTTGCATTTGTCACCATTAAAGCTTGAGCTCCACAGGGCAGACTTCATGTCAGTTCTTGGTGACTGGTGCTGGCCGTGATGCTCTCACATAACAGGTGCTCAGTTAATATCAGTGGAAGGTAGCAGAACGAACCAATGGGAGCAACAGAAAGGAGGTTTGTTTGGGGCGGGTATAGCTCAATAGTAGAGCACATGCTTAGTGTGTGTGAAG